TCTGCTCTAAGTGGGTCCGCTCTCCTCTTCACTAAATAGCTTTTTCATCATAAATATTCTTACCGTTGTGTCACTAAGCTGCCACAAGGACACGGAACGTTGCAATACTTGGTCAGGTTTGTTTTGTATTCTACCATCTCCGTCCCTACTTACCCTTCTTGTGATTGTTCTAAGTATATAGGTCTTCAAGCATATTCAAGAAATCTTTCGGATCCAGGTGGCACCATGTGGCACCGATATGTCAAGCGAAAGTTACGCCTAGACCTGCCACAGGGCGTTTTGTGTGTAATAAGGTGGAATGATTGGAATAGCTTGTGTATCTCAAAGCAGCACTCCAAGCGGTAGAGCAGGAAACTAAAACAAAGGATCGTACACAATTGCCAAATCCAAAACACCTTGTGATGGTCTCAGCTTGTGGCGGTCTCGTCATACTTCCGTTTTGCAAAGAGCTCAGGTGCCTTTCTTAATCGCACAAGGCATGTCGAGGCATCACGGCCCAGCGCGGTTGCAAACATTGAATTGAGGCTGTGGCCATGTAGGGGGCAGTGCCTGCCCACTGCATGGACCCAGTACCTGGGATTTCATGCCAAGCATTTTTGCGCAATGGCTTGAAGCTTGCGGTTGGAAGTGGCTTATCAAGTTTTGCTGGGAAAAAAAAACACCGACTTGGGAACTCGGGAACTCTCACCGCACTGGTAGGAAAACACCAAACTCGTCGTTGCATTGCCGAGGCTGAAGCACAACTCAGAGCGCATCCGCGCAAGTCCAAAGTCACAGAGCTTCGCTGCAGGCCTGCAAATTGCAAATCAAGGTGCCCAAGAAATCCCAAGGAGGTCATGCCATGTGTGCCATGTGTGCCATGTGTGCCATGTCTTTCAGATTCCATAGATGCTTACCCATATACTTACCCATCCGAGCTCCACCATGTGGCGTGGAAATCCATCTAATCATTGTAAATCCATCAGTATCCATCCAATTCTATACATGTTTGCTCGCAATATGTGCTGTGGCTCGCCTGCTGCCTTCTGTCAGCAGAACATTCTGTGACCTCTGAAAAAATGAGTACAGTATCTGGCTTCAGAAATTTAGAACTTGAGTTCTGGAAAAGTGCTAATAGGCTTATATAATAAGAAAAGGATAGAACAGGATGGAAAAGGTAATGGCTCTTGGATGCTCTTGGGATCTGTCTCTTGGGGCTCATTCCTAAAAGATTCCTGGCACTAGGCAACAATAGTCAACAATATCCAATTTCATGCTTGAGAAGTGGGCTTGATGTCTCGATGAACCACCTCAGCAGCCGCACGGATCTTGGAGAAAATCAACTGCAGCACGTGGCAGCCAGGGAACCATCATAGCATGCAAATATGCGAGGGCGGCGCCAGCCTGGAGGCGGCTTTCGCAGAAACCCTCCTTCTCAGATGTTCATATTCAATATGTTTTTAACATTTTTGTTGCTCTATATAGTGAGTGGACTACGTTGAAGAGCAAGAATTCGCCAAAAACATCTGAGAACACAAAGCTGTGGCTAGATACGGTTAGCCCTAGCAATGAAGACCCCCCATGTTTGTTCAATCAAGCCCTGTTCAGCACAACCTCACCAACTTAACCCACCGCATCACAGCACAGCAACAAAAATCTTATCTATAAGTTGTAACTTCTAATTTTATAACTATACTTATAACTTATAACTTATATATAAGTATCCATATGTATTCATAAGTTATAACATATTCCCCCGCAGCCTGACGCAGCAGTGGCAGCCTTGCTTTCTGATGATCGATGTTCCAAGCTGAACAGCCTTGGCCTGAGCTGCCCACAGCATGGTAGGCTCGGTACCTGGAGAATCGCGCCGCCGGGACCTCAAGACTTCTGTGAGACTCTGATCCCGGATGACCCAGTCCCGAGATGTCCCGAGTCAGTCATTCAACACTCAAATTATCTCAAATTATAGCTGAGGTTTCAGACGAAGTGGGACCATGAAGAAGTTCGAACAGGGAGCCACCGCAAACCTCATCGAATTGGCAACATCAGCTGCATCCAGAGAACCAAGAATCAGAATTGACATTGAATTGACAGGTATTTTAATCATTAATTTTACTTCATTTGAATCCATTTGATGCCTTCAATGGATTCCAACTTCCTCGTGGCGATTGCAGGCTGTGGAATTGGTTCAAGACCCCTGCAAGTTCAGTGAGGATGCTCAGTGCCGGAGGCATTCGGCACACGGCCATGAGCGTAACTACCTGGCAATCTGATGCAGTCTCATCTAATGAATCTAATCTCATGGCCTCTGGTGCCAACAATTTGGTGTAGGAAGTTTCAAACCCATGGGATCCCATGTCCTAGCCGATGGGAATCTTATCGATCTCTTTAATCTTCTTGAGCTTTTCAACCTACTGTGTTGTCTTGTTCTGTCGAGGCACATTCGGATGTCGCAGCTTACGCAGCATCCGTACCTGTCCCAAAACTGAGCTCGGAATTAGAAGCCATCATGGAACAATCAGAGTCAGTGCAAATGGCTCCACCTCATTCTCAAACTCGGACTTCAATTCTTCCTCAGGCAAGTTTGGCTACATAATGCTAAATATGTCAGAGACTCAGCACTTCTGTCATACAAGTATGCTCATATATATATGCTCATTTAGCCCAGGAACTGTCAGAACGGGGTCGAAAATCTTCTTCAGGGCACAGGGCGTACACTGCCAAGTAGCATAATGCCTCAAACACCGTCCCTTTTCACGTGGTGCACACCAGCATCCTCTGAGAAAAACAATGACTAATAGGACATAATAGGACTACAAATGTCTACAACCGAAGAGCTTTGTCGAAATTCAACGGTCTTCACTGGGAGCATGACACCGAAGCAAAGCCTCCTTGAGCAATCATGCTGCCCACTTCCACCTGCTCAAACCACGGTTTCAATGCATTTGGCGCATTTCATTCGTGCAATTCGGCAACAGCAGTTTGCAAAACCCTGTTGCCTTGTTTAAGTTGGGTTCCTCCCTTTTTGTGTCTCGTAGAACATGCACACACCGTCCAGTACCATCCAGGCAGGCTTGGGAAGCATCAGTGCCTCTTCCAGCGAAAACTTTGGCAAACCATCATCATGTGCCTCGACAATCGATCAATGCTGCAATGCTTCATGTCAGCTTCAACAGGTTGGTTGGGCATATAGATATAAATATCCATAATATATATATATATGTGTGTGTGTCTCTCTCTCTATATATATAGTGTGCAATGTGGAATGTTACTATTCTATTATATGAATTTATATTATATGATATTAATATATATTAATTGATATTATATGAACGTGTGCAATGACATCTGCATTGGTTGGGCACTGCAAAATCCATTCCCAGCTTCTGACCGAGTACATCTCCGACTCAGCAAGGCGTTGTGACAGCCTTTGAATCTCCTTCAACAGAGTAGATCTCGGAAATTCTCCTTATATATTCATGACACGGAACACTTCTGATATGTTCAACAGATTTGGCGATGGAGTTTTGCGACTTTGGATACTTTGGGGAAAGACTTACTTTTGGGGCCTTAGAGAGATGGGCCCAAGCAGCAAATATCACATAATATCATATATATATATATAATTGTATAATTATATAATATCATATAATATCACCATCATGTCCCGGCCTGTTGCAATCTCTTGAGCTTTCGTGGATCATCGCTTCCCGTTGTCCTCAACCGATCAAAGATATCAAAGCAGTGGCCGAAGGTCGACAGCGGTATGCTGAGACTGTTACCCATCGGCAGCATCCACACTAGGTCTGGCCTGGGTACCACGGTGGGACCACCACTCCACAGCTTCTTTCAATGACCGGACCAGCATGGTTGTTTGTCAGGTTTCGAAGGGCACATGCAGAAAAGATCAGAAAAGCATGGTTTTTTTTCCAATCTATCTTGATCAATTGCTTGATCCAGGGGTTGTTGTCCAGCTCAGCCCAGTTTGCCACCCACGGCAGACTGGCCATGAGCACTTCTTGGCAGCGTTCGGCACAAAGTTCTGGATGTCAAGACGTGAGAGGCTCTTCGGCAGAATCGGCTGTGGAGAGCAGATTAGAGCAATCAGGCCTTTGACTCAATCTAGTAGAGGCGCACCTTAGCCAACACATTGACACACTCTTGAAAGACCTTTCTACTTGGACTAGGAATGACTAAGAACGCAGATGGAAGCCGCACTGCTGTTATAATCGATCTGATCACAATTTATTGACATTCAATCCTCCAAGGAGCTTTCTTGGGCTTTGGAGGCGGGAGACTCTGCATCATCTGCATGTGATCCATCACCAGCTCGCGTTGGTCTGGAGTCGTTCCTTTGGCCTCATCCCTTGCCCACGAAGTGGCCAGTTCCACTGCAGCAGCCCAAGCCTCGTCCCAAGTTGGAGCTTGGATACCAGACGAAAGCATTACTCCAGCAGGGTCCTCAACAGGCAGCCCTTTCAGCCTTTCAACCCTTTTAGCCAATGCTAGGTGAACATCCAAACCAGCTAAAACCAATCTAGAATCTAAAACCCTCCAAAAGAGGTCCAAGGTCCAATTCTGGTTAAACAAGGAAATTCCTTGAAATCTTGGGCAATTTTAAAGGTTTCGTGGTATTACAATCTGATAATACACAAAATTGTTTGGAGCGTGTGATTTTCGGAGGCTTCCTGCTGGGTCTTTCTGAATCCTTTTCTCTTGATCTAAACACTCAGTGCTGTGGGTAATGATTTTCTTTGATTTTCTACAGATTTTCTACCCCGCTCCTTGAGATCGCGTGCCAGCAGCTTGCCGGCATTCTCATATGCCTTGAAGGCGACCAACTGACCCGGCCAGAAGTCCTTTATCTCGGTGTGATGCACAAAGGGATCACAGTTGTACCCTTTCGCACGCAGTGCATCGCAGCCAATGAAGCCATACTCCCTGTCCCAGTGAAATACCTTCACTTCACCCACAAAGGTTCCTATTTCATTTGGCGGAGCTGGTGCTGGTTCCTGCACCTTTCCAGTTGCATCTTCCAAATTGCGGCCCTGCACCTTTCCATTGTACATGTAAGCTTCAAACTTCACCTCAGCGCCTGTTCCAAACTCCGCACAACTGTCGCCATGCACGTAGACATCGACATTAAAAGCATCGTACAGCTCCTTGCAGAAAATGAAGCCAAAGCCTTTGAAGGGATCAAAATTCCTAATAACTCCATAGTATTCACCAAGAATCTCGCGAACCTCAGCTGGATCTGTCTCGGATTTAGCTACCTGCCATCCATCACTCTGCATGACCCGCGTGACCCCGGTCATGGCTTGCTTCGGAAAGGCTTGGTGCACTGCCGCCTTGGGATTGTTGGCAGCGGCCGCAGAGATCGCAGCAATGGCAGCCACTCCTTTTGCTGGAAGGCTTTGCAACGACATGCTTTGGCTGGGCAGCTTAGACATTAAATCCGGAGGCCGTTCGAGCTGCTCTGTAGCAACTGGTAATCCAGTGGCCATGGAAAATGGTCTCTTGTTGGAAACTGTTGTTGAAGCTGGGGTAACTTTGTTCCTCTTTCTTGCAGGGTTGCCAGCATCCTTTGACGAAAGGCTCTGTAAATCTATTGCTTGGGGTTCAGATTTCTCATTCACCGTCACTGCAAAGCTGACTTGTTCGCCCTGTACGAAGCCAGCAACTTGGGCGGGGGCAACACAAACATCGCAGCCGAAGGCAGCCTGAAGCTGTGGACAAAGGATGAAACTCATGCCCTCAGCTCTGACGCTTTGAAGAACACCAGTACATCGCTTTTCGGTCACAGCCTTTGATGGTGCATAGGTGAGATCCGGCACTGCAGAGCTGATCAGGTCAGGTGCCAGGTTGGGCTTGGATTGCAACAGCTCCCCCAGGATGAAGTATAGGGCGTTATCATCCATGGCGACCAAAAGATCCAACACCACTTGCGGATCCATGGCGCCCAAGCTCCCAGCGATGGCCGGTCTATCTGCAGCCGCTGTCACATAGGCATTGTTTGGAGCCAGAACTGCTTTTGTGGCCAAGGTCTTTGTCACAGCTGCATCTGGCAGATACAAAAAGAATCATTGCACAGCAGAAATTTCCTAAGCACTTTGCCCGACGACCGGACTGGTGAGTCTCTTGGATGTCTGGAGGTGGCCTCAGCTCTTCCAAATTCTGGCCCCAGTGTTGAAAGCTTCACATCATTTCGCGTCATATTGTTTCATTCACCAAGGACCTGGCCGGGAACTTGGCAGCTGGACCTCACTTTTGCGTACTTGTGCGCCATCAGCGAGTTTCTGAGTTATCTTTGCCATTGTCTTAGATTTGTTCAGTCTCCGAGTCTCCTGCATCTTTCACACGGGACTTCTCGTCGTGCTGCAGCCTGGGAGTGTTGACAGTGTGAAGGGCAGGCTGTGGCAGTTGTGGCCGATGTTGCCAGGTTCTGCGAAGTCTTGCCGAGCATCCCAGCCACAGTGGACGGGAATCCTTCACAGGTGGGGACGTCACCTCACGAACAGAGTACAACGGGATTTCGGCTCTTGGGCCCCTTGGATCCCCTTGGCCCCTTGCCATGCCTCGCCTGTGGGCTCGAGCTGTCTCCGGTTCCGGGTCGTTCATCACCCACGCAGATCTTGCCACGCCTCAGTGAGTTTTGAAGGTGGGCCTGAAGCCGACCGGCTACAAGTACTATAATAATAATTTAATTTTTATACTGTAGTAATAATTTTTAGTAATAGTAAGTAAAGTAATAACAATAATAATCATAATAATAATCATAATAATGATAACAATGGTTAGTAATAACAATGATAATAATAACAATGATAATGATCATCATCATGATCATTATCATTTTGTTAGTATTATGTGTGTGTTCTTTTTGTCATTGATCTATTTAAAAATCCAGCAATTCGCATGTTTGATATGTTCTGAAGACGTAAGAACCACACACAACTCGTCTTCCAGAGGAAGGAGCACTGGCAAATGTCCTCAAGGCGTAACAGTAACAGGATGGGCACCGCTCATGCTGCAACGCTCAAAAGAAAGCTTTTGTGTATCCATAATGTCGTCCTGCCGTTCTCCAGTTGGATGTCCTTGGCAACCACCACGTCTCATCAATAGATGAAATTTATCAAAATATATAAAATGATATAAAATATAATGATTGTAATGGTATCGTTGCAACTTGATCAACATAACATGATACATAACGCGGCAAGATGCTGCATAGACCCTGACTTGCCCGATACGCCTCTTGGCCAGCTGTGGGACTGAAATGCAAGACTATTGAAGGCTGGTCTCCAAGCGGGTCAAGCTCTCTCCTGCTCCGGAACCTGGCAAAGGGATGCCAAGGGACTATAGTGGCATATAGTGGTTACAGTATAGTACCCTACCCTGCCAATACCCTGCCAACATTGGCGTCGGATGGCTGCAAACTGTGAGGACTTTAGACCAATGCGTCTTCTTTTATTAACACTTATACTGACTCAGAAGTGAAACTCTTGCAATGGCATTGCGCATGTGATTTCCCCGCAGGCCACGTGCATGAGATCGAGTTGATATCGCATGTCAACAATGCTGTGATGTCATATCATGTCTGCTACAATCATAATATTAATTGAAGTTCTATGGTGGGAAACACCATGTGACTCTTATATCTCATCTCCAAGCCAAGAGGCCCGAGCGTGCCAAGTGGGAATCCTCGCAAGATTGTCCCGTAAGGAATGGCCCACTTGGCTCTTCCAAAGACAACAACACACTTCCAGGATGTTCAAACTGCAAGCTGGCATGGATAGAAATGATATGAAATGATACCAGTAGAAGCCAATCGGCTCAAAGACTGCATTACAATGCTTTTATTCAAATGGCACACATGAACCAAAATAACTGCGACATGGAAATGACAGACATTGATGGCTCCTTGCTAGCGTCAGGGTGGCTGGAAAAGAATTCGACAAAATCTTGCTGGGATCTCTCGGGCCTTCTCTGCAAATGGCTGACTTCTGTGCTCGACCTCAGCAGGCAAAGAAGCAAAGAAGCTTCTTTGGACATTCTTTGGACATTTAAATTCATTGAAATCTTTTTTAGAAAAGCAGCTGCAAAAGGATCTGAATGGAATCGTACGGATCTGTCTGTACAGCCTTCACTATCTCCACTTGTGCATTTTGTGCGCTACAACCTGTACTTACCCAAGAAAAGAAATGCAGTTCAGGTTTGCAGTCTGTCACACACAGTTATCCTTTGACTCTGGCGCTCAGTCTGCCCGCAGCTTTTGGTGTTGCTTGCGCCTCGCAGGACTTCCACGTGGCCATAAGCGAGGCAGCAGCTGCCGTGTCCAAAGAAAATTGAACACGAATGCTAACAATAGTAGCACCGAGTAGCACCATTGCATACAATTGTAGCACTGCAGTCCCCTGTGGTTCTGGTTTCATGCAGATATGCAGAATGTGAGGCAATCGACTGGATATGACTGCGCTGGTGCTGACTCTGAGACCACCGCTTCTGCCCCCTCGGGAGGCCTGACCAGGACAGCCCGCATATTCCATGGCCAGCACAGTTGTATCTTCCAGTCTTCGAAGAATCATGGAAAAATAATGACAATACAGTATATAATGTATATACCAAGATTACCCAGATTAAAGATCATCCAAAATCCTCCCAAATCGTCAAAGATCGTTCAAAGATCATTCAAAATCATCCAAAATCATCGACAGATCTATGGTAGTCCCTGGTAGTCTGCCAAACCACTAGAAAACACGTATTAGTGGTTGAACACAACGCACCAAAGCAGCAAAGCCTTGGAGGCCTCTCAGGTGAGACTGGTGAAGTAGGCCTCAGGAGAATTCAGGAACTTCCCTTGAGCACGGACATTTTACTTGGGTTTGGCTTAGTCAGGGCTGGGTGGTTCAACCTGATCTATGTTACTATGGAAGGATGTATATAAAAGGCCCCATTCCGATTCTATCCCATTCTGACGCATCCTTATTGTAAATGAAGGACGCGGGTGCATGGTATTCTTTTTTTTTACAGGGTGACCCAAGCATCCACAAGAAACACAACAAACGTAATTATATGGCTACTGGATGCTAAGAACATTTAAGAACGAGCTGGAGACAAACAAAAGACTTTCTCCCAAGGAAATGTGAGGCCTGCACGCTACGTTGCGCGCCTACAGGTGCCATGCATCACAAATTTAATTGACAAATGATACATTCATAGATATATTGATATATTCTATATCCTTCTATCATATCTATCACATGCTATCCGATTTCGTACATTACCAGCACTTGAAGCCCAGCATTGATGGATGTGGAATCAGTGTCAGAACTCATGCACGAGCCCACAAAGCCATCACGCCTGGGCTGCCAGGTCTTCGTCAGAAGCATCCTGAGGAAAAAACTTGATTAATCAAAATCTGGCACTATATACTGCGGAGGTGGATAGACAAAATCCTGCACCAGTTAGTCACTTGTATCATGGGATTCGTTTTCGATCCGCTGGTTATTGACCCCTCCCCATTATGACATTTATTCAGGTTGGGATGAACTATCCATCAACTGGTGCAGGATTTTGTACGGACGCAATGGGAATGGATGCACTGAGCACTACTGGCCCAAGCACACTTTGTGTTCCATCACTACAGCAGGCCTCATCCTCGAAGTCATCATCCTCAGCAATTGCCCCCATTTGCCCCGGCCCAATCTTGAACATTGGCGAAATGGATTGGAGGGTTAAATCATCTTAAATCATCTTATTATGTAAATCGCCCATGTTCTGAGCCAAGGGCGTAGGCCTCTCGGATCTCGGCCTCTCCCTCGGAGCTAGCCATTGCTGCATGCCTAGGCCGCCGCAGAGCCTGGCCGCCCTAACGGTGATGGGATCACAGCTGGCAATTGCAGAGAATCAAAGTGGCCAGGTATCAAAGGGTGATTGGATGCATGGAATGCTACTTAGAATATCTTAGAATGGTATAGATGGGCGAGGATGGTACAACTATTTGTGATAGTTATATATAAATATATAATATGAAAAATATGATAACGGTACTGTTTGGTGCATGTTACGCAAAATCAAGTGTGAATCAACATGTTGGAGGAGAAGTCAAAAGAATGTGGCAAGAAATGAGAGGCTTCTTGTGACGCAGTCGAATCCCTTTAACATCTTGCAAATATGAATTTGAGATAATTTGAGCCTTGACGACACAGCCCGGGCACCCGGTCGAGAAGCAAGGACAATGCTGACCACGCCAAATGCGCCAGTCGATCACAGTTGATCTAGTTCTACACGGTTTCACACCTTTGTCCCCGACAAACACTGCTGCACGAAATGCAGCACCTTGCACGCGGCACTTTTTGGGGACATCTTTTGGCCATTTGGGGCAAAGCCGTCCAATGAGGCTTGACGGGGAATGCCTGCAACTGCTCCGACCACAGCAACACATGGGCCATGAGCTGCAGTTCTCCAGCATGCTAGCTGCTGCTAGCTGGTGCCAGCCGCCAGCGAAAATACTCAAAGGACTACTCGAGTGCTCGGACTGATCTACACAATGGGGAGTCTTTGCTGAAATGATCTGAAACTCAGAATGTGTGAGATGCATGACTTTATCATTTTATCCAAGACGTCCATGGTTGATACCTGTGCAAACTAGTCTCCTCAACGCTGTTCCCCCAATCCATCTCTGAAATTTCAGGAACCCTCAGTGAAACCTACTTTCTGCCTGACGTTCTGCCAGACAAGGGGGGCCTCTCATGCAGATTCACTGAAACCTTGCATATTTTGAACAGTTTAAGTGAGGTTAGGGCACTTGGGTACTAGGTTAAGATTTTGGGGGCCAGTGACCCCCCAAGTCAGACAGGTTCTATCAGGTCCAAGCCATCATCAAATCCCAGCGTCAGCAAGTTGTCACCTTAGCAATGTATAGCAATGTACCATAATGCACCGGCAGTTTCCCAAGGCTCCCATTTGCACCACCCGCGCCATCATTTTTTGCGCCCCTGGGATGGCAACAAATAAAGTGACCCACAGCAGACTCGATGACTTGAGCCACCAGGTCCTGACAAAAGTTGTGAGCAATAAATCGGTTATTGTTTCTCTTTCGTTCTTTTCTCTTTCGTGTCAGGGTAAGGGGAACCATCACGTTAAACCACCTGAGACTCTCTGATTTGCTGCATTCGATTCGGTGAAATCACACCATATGTATCCATATGTCAAAACACCATGAGACACACCTCCGGATGTATTGTAGTCTTACGTGGCCAATTATTTTATCCAAAGACTCTCCTATTCAAGAGACTGAACGCTGCGTATTATACAACGTTGATTATGCTAGCGCATAGAAGTCGTCATAGAAACTGCCGCCACGAGATCATTTCTGCATGCAGTGTCCAAATATCTATCCTGCCCCTGCACCTTTGGCAACGCCACTCCGCCAAACCCTTATTGGGCCTGGATATAACCCTATCTATTATGTCCTAGTATTTGTTCAAATTAAAGATACAGTATGCAATACACACGCACACACAATATGGATATATCACATATTCATTCATTTGTTTCTGTATATTTATGTATTATAGTTATTATATAAACATACTTTAATATATGTATATATACATATAATATTACAGAAAGGAACACTGTCAGGTCCCCATTTTTCCACGCTTCTGGAAATTCAATGTTTTTGCTACATCATGTTCAATCCTTTATGCTCATATACCTGTGATGGTATTGCTAGAAAGCCACACAGATTGTCAGACTTCCTCAAAGGTTGCCAAAGAATGTCCAGAGAGCCATGAAGATTCCCAAGGAAAAGGAAGGAGGAAAAACAGACATAGTGTGTGTATATATATATATATATATCTGGCTTCCCTTAGGGGGAGAGGTGGCCAAGGAAAAAACAATTATTTTTTTTCGGGTTTATCCCCTCTCATAGCCCTCCTATGTACATAGCCTCTCCCTGATGGCAGGTTGCCAAAGGTTGCCAGAGAATGTCCAGAGAGTCATGAAGATCCCCTGGGAAAAGGAAGGGGGGAAAACAAACATAGTGTGTGTATACCTTAGGGGAGAGGTGGCCAAGGAAAGGGATTTTTTTTATGAGCTTCCCCCCTCTCCTAGCCCTCCTATATATAGCCCTCCTATATACATTGATGGACTTGCATTTTCCTTGTAGTAGTACTACTGGATGCATCTATGATATGGATGCTACATAAATACCGCATAGCAATACGTACACACATTTTCCACATGTACTTTGCATATGTAAAGGAATTTTTCCAGGATTGACTGCAATAAAGACTCTTTGGTTGCAACTGACTTTGCTCATAACAGTTGGCACATGGTAAGGGCAGCTCCAACTTACCCCTTCTCCAAAAATATGTTTTTTCCTGCATATTTCAGAGTAATTTGCTATGCCACTGCATATCTAATCCAGGTACCCTGTTACCACAATTGCTTGGCCGTGTTTTTTTTAAAACTTTTATGACCGGATGAGTAACACCTAAAAAGAGGTAAAACGGTTTTTAAAACTTGACAGAAAACAGCTATGACACAACACATTGGACTAGGAAGTAGCAGCTCCCAGAATGCATTCATATGGAAAGGGTTCCCTTCTCCATCCTTTTGACCAATACTCACTCTTGTTCTTAATTCTTTGATCTATAAACTGTATGAAAAGTTTCAGGGGTTGTTTGTGCTTTAGTGGGTGAATGGTTTCAACCAGTATGCAAGCGCATTGTCACAAGTGTGCAGAATCAGTATATATACAGTAGAAATGGCAGCTTCGAACATGCACTGATATCTAGAGGGTATTTTGTGATAAAAGCAATATTTTTTTGCAGATACCATAGCCGTTTGCTGTGTCAACACATCCAAGCTGCATTTGCACTTAGAATGCAAATATTATATATTTTTTCTTATATAGTACATACAGTTCTGGAATGGATGGCATATAAGTCACCAATGCCCTTAAAGACACAAGTTTTCTGCAGTTTTCCTGCATATGCAATATTCTTCTAGGTTTCAATGCAGTAAAAGATCTTTGCTGAAAATATCGATTGATCACAAGAGTTGGCAAATTCCAGGGGCACTTCCATTTCCCCCTTGCTTCAGAAAGGGCGTTTTTACCTGCATATTCCATGGTAATTTGCTGTGTCACTGCACATATAACGGCAAACTTTTTTTACCATAAATTTATTCATGGCTGTGGGCAAAAACTTAAACTATGTCAGTATAAGTTCATCATGGTAACTAGAAGGGCACAAGACCAAGGAAAGGAAACACTTAAGCAACCTTACCAAACAACTGTATCTATAGAATGGCTGCCTTGCTTGTGCATCGATGCAGCAAGTTACCATGAAGCATGCCAAAAAAATGCAACTACTTGAGGAGGGAGAGCAGATTGGAATTTGCACTTTCATTTATAAAAGGGTTCCACTGGAACTATGATGTCAACCAAAAGGCAACCTGGCAATCCAATATCAAAAACCACCAATGCAAATACAAAGGGCTATGTATGTATATATATATATACTGTCTTTGCAATAGCTGTATACCTAGGTAGTACCTATACATTAATATATACATGAAGTACCAACTGACACAATGAATCTCTATGTTTCAAGATGTTGTTGGGCAAAGAACTTTGCCATTCATGCACTAAGACCACCTATCAAAAAAACAATAGAGCTACAAAAAGCAAGCAACCAAGAATAGAGCTAAGGATTAACAAATCAGAAAACAGTGCATCTCCCAAGAACTTTGATCTTTCATATATGATCAAAAGAGGAAAAAGAAGCATAAAATAGTCAAAAAACGCTTAAAACCACGTATTTTGGGGGACCTGGTGGCGTTCCACTCTCTAATATCCGCCGACCCCTGCCGACAGCAGGGGGAGCGCGTCAGAGGAGGAATTACCAGCAGCAAGGGCAAGAAGCAAGAAAACATGAAAGAAGAAGCAAGAAGCAAGAAGCAATTACAGGCAACAAGCGGCAAGAAGCAAGAAACAAGAAGCCAGGAAGCAACAAGCGGCTGGAAGACAGGTCAGAGAAGCAAGAAACAACAAGCCAGGAAGCAACAAGCGGCTGGAAGACAGGTCAGAGAAGCAAGAAACAAGAAGCCAGGAAGCAACAAGCGGCTGGAAGACAGGTCAGAGAGCTAGTTTTCTTGTCGATTCAGAAAGCAACGTTAGGCAGGCGGCTGGAAGACAGCTCAGAGAGCTAGTTTTCTTGTAGGTTGAGAAAGCAACGTTAGGCACTGGGAGCCGTTGCCCGGAGGCTCGGTCCGTCCTTCAGGGCCCTGCTGTTTTGCTGTGGCGGAGGCGCCGTTTGTGAGCCTTGACGGCTGGAAGAGAGCTAGTTTGGGAGCCGTTGCCCGGAGGCTCGGTCCGTCCTTCAGGGCCCTGCTGTTTTGCTGTGGCGAGGGCGCCGTTTGTGAGCCTTGACGGCTGGAAGAGAGCTAGTTTTCTTGTAGGTTCAGAAAGCAACGTTAGGCAGTGGGAGCCGTTGCCCGGAGGCTCGGTCCGTCCTTCAGGGCCCTGCTGTTTGCTGTGGCGGAGGCGCCGTTTGTGAGCCTTGACGGCTGGAAGAGAGCTAGTTTGGGAGCCGTTGCCCGGAGGCTCGGTCCGTCCTTCAGGGCCCTGCTGTTTTGCTGTGGCGAGGGCGCCGTTTGTGAGCCTTGACGGCTGGAAGAGAGCTAGTTTTCTTGTAGGTTCAGAAAGCAACGTTAGGCAGTGGGAGCCGTTGCCCGGAGGCTCGGTCCGTCCTTCAGGGCCCTGCTGTTTGGGCGTGGCGGAGGCGCCGTTTGTGAGCCTTGACGGCTGGAAGAGAGCTAGTTTGGGAGCCGTTGCCCGGAGGCTCGGTCCGTCCTTCAGGGCCCTGCTGTTTTGCTGTGGCGAGGGCGCCGTTTGTGAGCCTTGACGGCTGGAAGAGAGCTAGTTTGGGAGCCGTTGCCCGGAGGCTCGGTCCGTCCTTCAGGGCCCTGCTGTTTTGCTGTGGCGAGGGCGCCGTTTGTGAGCCTTGACGGCTGGAAGAGAGCTAGTTTTCTTGTAGGTTCAGAAAGCAACGTTAGGCAGTGGGAGCCGTTGCCCGGAGGCTCGGTCCGTCCTTCAGGGCCCTGCTGTTTTGCTGTGGCGGAGGCGCCGTTTGTGAGCCTTGACGGCTGGAAGAGAGCTAGTTTGGGAGCCGTTGCCCGGAGGCTCGGTCCGTCCTTCAGGGCCCTGCTGTTTTGCTGTGGCGAGGGCGCCGTTTGTGAGCCTTGACGGCTGGAAGAGAGCTAGTTTGGGAGCCGTTGCCCGGAGGCTCGGTCCGTCCTTCAGGGCCCTGCTGTTTGGGCGTGGCGGAGGCGCCGTTTGTGAGCCTTGACGGCTGGAAGAGAGCTAGTTTGGGAGCCGTTGCCCGGAGGCTCGGTCCGTCCTTCAGGGCCCTGCTGTTTTGCTGTGGCGAGGGCGCCGTTTGTGAGCCTTGACGGCTGGAAGAGAGCTAGTTTTCTTGTAGGTTCAGAAAGCAACGTTAGGCAGTGGGAGCCGTTGCCCGGAGGCTCGGTCCGTCCTTCAGGGCCCTGCTGTTTGGGCGTGGCGGAGGCGCCGTTTGTGAGCCTTGACGGCTGGAAGAGAGCTAGTTTGGGAGCCGTTGCCCGGAGGCTCGGTCCGTCCTTCAGGGCCCTGCTGTTTTGCTGTGGCGAGGGCGCCGTTTGTGAGCCTTGACGGCTGGAAGAGAGCTAGTTTTCTTGTAGCTTCAGAAAGCAACGTTAGTAACGTTAAGCAGTGGGAGCCGTTGCCCGGAGGCTCGGTCCGTCCTTCAGGGCCCTGCTGTTTTGCTGTGGCGAGGGTGCCGTTTGTGAGCCGTGACGGCTGGAAGAGAGCTAGTTTTCTTGTAGGTTCAGAAAGCAACGTTAGGCAGTGGGAGCCGTTGCCCGGAGGCTCGGTCCGTCCTTCAGGGCCCTGCTGTTTTGCTCAATGGGAGATATGCCCAGGGGTCGGCGGCAGGGGGCGGAGCCCTTTAATTATATATATATATACATATATTATATTAAATAATATACCTCTGCCATTTACCACTATAGTATTCCTATCCATACATTACATACCCTAACATCATCTAACATCTCCGTGGGCCACAGCCTTGATGCGAAAACTTCGGTATAGTTCAGCCTGTCCTCCGTCACTGCAGCCTGGGTTTGACTCCTTTGGGCCTGGCTTGGATGCAACGGGCAACGGGTTTCATAATGGGTTGATATTGTGGTATAACTATCCAAAACCCGGGGAGTATGACTGTGGGAAATAAGACGAAATAATACGAAATATGTAATTGAGGATATTTATATAAGAAATTCTAGGAAATCTAAACCATCCTGATAAAACCATATTTTGGTTCTGAATCTATGGACTCATCCGGCTGGCTACAGTAACCATTGAATGTCCTAGACTCCTAGATGCTCCATGATATCCATGATATCCATGATATCCATGATGCTCCCACATCCATCTTGCGATGTCGGCATCGGCCACGCCTCCTTCTCCCGGAACGTCAGGCCAGGACCTGGGTCAAGCTGCAACGGCTGCAACGGCTCAGCCGTGGTGGCTGTCGCTGAGCCCTGCACGCTTCCGGGCTGTCTGTCCTACATGAGCAATAGATTAAAAAAATGCGCATTGCATCACAACAAAATGCAGTAAATAATTGCACATGAATTGCAATTGTGGCAAATCATGTCAAATCTATTCAAACCTTCTGATATCTCGGCAAAGAGCAAACTGCAAACCAATCAAACCAATGTTGATGAGTGCAGGATAATGCACCACTCCAAATCACCAGCCTCCAGCATTGGATGCATCGGTCGATGCCTGGAAAAGTTACTACAAAAAGGCCCGCAAGAAAATCCAAAGGCGACATGCTCAATGCCAAATTTGGGATGTTGAACCCATGGGACTTTGGCAAAGCTGTCCTGCGCACGAGCATCCACGGTGCGGCGAGGCAATGACAGTGGTCTGCGTTTCCTCACAGGGGTGAACCCACACCTGCTAAACACCTGTATCATGCTGTACCACCACCACCACCAGCAGCAGCAGCAGCAGCATCAGTGTCATTGGTTTCTTTGCCCACCCTATGCCAAAGTTTAGTGGGAAGAGTGCCTTTGCGCATCTTTGCGCGCACCTTTTCGTCTGTCAAGGTCACGCACATCACTATACATGTCGTAACGTAGCGTATGCGAAGAACCATGGCAAAGAATATCTAATTTGTGACTGTCCACGCCGGGTTTCGTAAGGTTTCGCAAACCCGCCAACTGCTCTAGGTCTCTGCATCTCCCATTGAAATCCACTATATGTTGGTGGATTTTGAGGGTATGGCTTCCCCCCCCCTCCATGTACATACTACTGCAAGTGGCATCAA